AGAGAAAAGCAAGGAGGAAACTGCTACTGCTGAGATACTATATATCCTGCATTCAGGCAGCTGAAATTGGCTGAGTCTTGTGCCAGACAGGAGGAACAGAGAAGCAACCTTCAGCTCTGTGCTCCTATAATCCTCTGAATTTGTTTATTTATTTAGAGGATTGATAGGCCATCCATCACTGTCACCTCTGGACAGAATTCTGTGGGTTCTGGGCACCACACTTGGTCCCTTGGCTCATGAACTTAATCCATTCCAGGACTCTGGTCATGACCCAATTTGGTCATGAGCCAAGTTAAATTTCCCCATAAGGTTCATTGTAAATAAGGTTGATCCGTTCTGTAACTATTTTTTTAATCAGAAAAATGAGAAGCAAAGTGACAAAGAACAACAAAGATCATGACCATCTCCCCCCCACCCGCCCCACAGCATGACCGTGATCACACCAGTCATCCCTGCATGCACCCATCATCCCGGCATGCTGGAGGGTGGGGAGAGACAGGTGCAATTGTGCTGGGGTGGGGGGAGATGGCCGAGATCGCGCTTGCACTCGTGCAGGTAAGACAGGTGCGATCTCGGCCATCTTCCCCCTGCCCCCAGCACGATCACGGCCATCTCCCCACTCATGGGGGAGGGGAGATGGCCGCAATCACAGTTGCTACCCAATGCGGAGTTCGCAACCTGAGTCAAAATTTTTATGACATTTTTATTCATGACCTGATTTAGTCGTGAACTGAGGCATTCGTGAGCTGAGGTAGTACTGTATTGGCCAGCAGGTCCACCTGCTTTGTATGATACAAAAATGGGAAGACTGTTTCTATGTAAATTCTGCAATATAAAGTTCACTTTATAAATTTGGTACCACACCTTAATTGATTATACATCTATTAACTCCCTTCCTGGTTGCACTGATAAAACCCACTTCTGTCTCTCTGAATCATGTGGGAGGCAGGGTGTGTTCAGAAAGCTGGGTTAATTAAAAGCAAACTGAAGGTTAGGAGAATGCAGAATGACAATTTTACCCAAGATGTTTTGCATCTCTTAGAATTCTTCAGATATTCCTATATATCCATAGATCTGCTGTCTCTTTTGTTGTTATGTGCCATCAAGTTGTCTCTGAGTTATGGAGTCCACCATTTTCCTCCCATTGCACGCATTTTCAGTTGTGGAGTTGCATTTAATATTAAAAGTATCTGAAGGAAAATTACCTTCACATTTACGTATCACTTTGTTGTTGCTGCTGCTGCTGGTGGTGCTATCTTTTTCTTTATCTTAATATTTATATACCACCTCTTTCCCATAGGCTCTGGGTGGTTAACAAAAAATTAAAGCAATAGTGAGTAATCTTCACTAATGCAACCTTTTAAATAAAACTGACATGAGAACTAAACTGAGAAGGCCTGTTAGAAGAAATCTGTCTGTTTTAAACTCCCTTTGAGACTTGGCAAACCATTCCACAATTTAGGGACAACAACTAAAACAGTCCTCTGGGTGGTGAGCGTAGATCATATAGGAGCAACTTCAGAAGATTATCCCCAGAGGACCTCAGCTGGCACGGTGGGATGTACAGGCGAAGGTGCTCCTGAAGGTTTGGTGCCCCCGTTACAATGGGGATATAGCAGGGTTGGAATCGGTGCAGCAAAGGGCCACAAGGATGGTGGCTGCTTTGCAGGGTAAGTCATATGAGGAGAGACTTAAGGGAGCCGGGTCTTTTCAGTCTGGAGAAGGGGAAACTCAGGGGAGACCTGTTAGAAACATACGGGTATTTATTATTTATTTATTTCTACATGTATTTATAGGCCGCCTGTAACTGCCAAGACCTTCCTAGGTGGCTCAGAATACAGAAAACATATTGGCAAAGTAAACACATTAAAACCAGTTAAAACACTATGAATTAAAACATCTATAAAATCAATATAAAAAGGGTCACAGCATTCAGGCTAAATGTTAACAAAGTTCCTTAAAAGGTATGTCTTCACCAGCCACCTAAAGGAAAATAGGGATGGCGCCAGGCAAATTTCCCTAGGGAGGGAGTTCCAAAGATGGGAAGCAGCAGTGGAAAAGACCCTTTGTCTAGTTGCCACCCCTCTCATCTCCCTGATGGGTGGTTCTTGTAGAAGGACCTCCTGAGCTGATCTAAGGGGGCAGGGATGGCTACCATGAACAGAAAGGTTATGTGTACTGGTCCTGAATACCAGGACCAAAAAAGAAAAGAAATAGCTTTGAGGAATTTGGAAGATTCTGATAGATATAAACATCTACAATCTGTTCTAGATAGCTAAACAGCTTGTTGTTAGGTACTTTTAATGATTAGTAGACTGTGAACAATGGGGTCAAACTTGAATGCCCTGTCAGACAATGATCAGAGAAAAAATAATCACAATAAAGCTAACTACTTTTTTCCAAAAGAATTCACAAAGCCCAGTTGAAATGAATTGCCCAGCTATATTCCAATTCAAACTTATTTTCGTGGCTTTCTTATCTTGAATATTGCTTGCCATTTCATAAGGAACATTCTCTTGTTATCTATAAGTACATGCCATTAAAGGGCATAGATTATACCAGCTAGGTATGATGTTTGTAGTAAACGAATAATTGGGATTGGAATAGAAAGAGGAATCATTACTCTCTCCATGCTGAAAGGACGTAATCTGAATTGATTTCTATTACCCATGTTCTACGCATCTTGAAACAAGTCAGTATTACAGTTCACCACCAGATGTCACTGCTAGCCAAGCTACTAAAGCAGGCAGGCACTAGAAGGCAGAAGCCTGATCCAGCTTAATCGCTGTGTACATCGGATGCTTTCTTTATTAGATATTAGCAGGAGAGTTGTATAGATACTTTCTACATCTCATATAAAAGGCAACTGAAACTCTTTCAATGTGTATTGGGGCATATGAGGAACAGGGTAGCAGAAAGTGAGGAAAGAAGAAAAATATTTCCAGCAATCACACTTGAGTAAGTTTGCCCTGTTTTCTGCTTGGCCAGGTTTGATCTGAATTCTAGCCATGCCATTTGGTTGGCCCGGATTTCCAATGTGTTTGGCTGCTGTAGAGTCTCTCACCCTTGTAGAACCCAAGATAGGAACAGGTGCAAGTCTGTCCCATTCATTCATTCATTCATTCATTCATTCATTTTTCTGTAGTGTATGTATGCATACTGCTCCATATATACAGTAGATCGAATCAGGAGTGATACTTTCCATGTTGTCCTAGCCAGAACTTGAAGTTCACACCATTGTGTTTTAGGGCAAAGCACTGGATTGTGTAAAGGTCCAAAGACTTTCTTTTTAGAAATTATTTGCTCCATTTGTGCAAAGAAGGCTTGTGACCAGAAATAAAATGGATAGAACAGGAGAACAGGCATCATTCCACCTGGCTGTCAGAATGCAATGGCAGCATGGACCAGAGACAGAAATCCCATCACTCGCCTGATAGAAGATCAGAGAAACATTTGACACCCTACTCAGGGGCTTGTAAGCACGTTGGAAGCAGCTTCTTGTGATGCTTGTCTGGCCAGCATTGGGAGTGCTTTCCTGCTGTTACTGCCAGCCTGAAGGTGCTGGCAGGGGTGGCAGAGAATGGGTGAACCCTCTGAAGCTGTGCCCAGGTGCTTTGAGGAGCACTGTTGATCACATTTGTTCAACAGGAGGCTTGGCAGGAAGGCAAGGGAATTTTGTTGCTCTTTCCAAGTCGCTCACTTGTGCGACTTGACCCACAATGGGTCAAGTCATCCAAGTTCAGATGACATGTCAATCCATTGTGAGCCAAATAACCACTGATTCTTCATGGCTACCCAGAAGGACCAATGGCTGGTAATCATGTGATTATATGACATGACAACCACATATTGATGGCATCATGTCATATGAATCCAGTCATTGTCTGCAGAAGGGATTTCCTGGTTCAGTTTGCATTTATTCCCTATCCCTGTGTGATCTTCTAGTAGGGAAGTGATTACTTTTGTTGTCCAGATTGACAACTCTGGACTTTACATGTAGCTGTGATTGAGAAGCCATGGAACCACACTGGAACAGAATGTACAAGCAAAGAGATAAATGCTCTAATTTACATCTTACTCTGCCAAAACAAATTAAATCTAGAGGGGTCACTGTACCTAAAGAAGTATGGGGTGTCATCAGTCTGGAAAATAGCCCACTTTATTGCTGCATTGCTGGCTGAGTCTGCACTGTACACCAATCCTGCAATGGAGTCCAGCATTATCTAGTTTTTTGGCATGGAAGCAACAGAGTTCATTAAACTGCTTTTTCACCCAGAGTGATAAATAAAGGGACAGTGTGTGTGTGAATGTTAATTAATTAAATTTAATTTTAATTAAAACATTTCTATGCCATCCTTTGCAACAAGCCTCAGGATGGCTTACAGAAGATAAAAATAACAATATAATTAACAAAGAAATAATATAAATATCATTAAAACATTCAACAATAGAACAAAATAAACAACAATATATCCTTTTCATAACTAAAGAAGAAGAAAGAGGAAATAGTTAACAAACAGTGTTGCTTTTGCTTCCTGCAGTGTTACTTTTGCAATCAAGTTTGACTCAACCTAACAGCATTTTCCTTTTTAAATAATCCTGAAACAACCACAAGTAGTTCACACCTTGACGTTATCCAAAAGGCTTGGAAATGCTGCAGGAGACTGTAAATTGGCTTCATCCCTCCCTCCTGTCCAGCCTTGTACTGTGCCCCCGATCCACAATCTCTTCTTTTTACCAATGTTCCGTCACATCCCAGCTTAAACAGCACCTGTAATATGATCTATGTATTTGTCTAAGTGGTTGGAAGCCTTTCTATTAAGTATATTTTCATGCTGCACCTGTCTTTCCACTGAGCACCTCTCTTTCAAATCAATTTAGAATATATATGGTTGTACCCCCCACCCCCAAGAGAGCTTCAGCTATGGGTGGCATAAATATAAATACATAATAACTGTCTGATCTGACTCTGCATTTGCCTTTGTCTGACATTATTGTAGCCATTGGATTTCGAAACTAAGAAGGCATACACTTTTAAAGTAGAGGCCTCGAATGTGCATCTTGACCATCGCTTCCATTCTGTGGGTCCATTCAAGGATACTGCAACTGTGAAGATTAATGTAATGGACATAGAAGAACCTCCTGTTTTCAGCAAACCTTTTTACACCATGGAGGTTTATGAAGACACTCCAGTTGGGACCATTATAGGAGCTGTCACTGCTCAGGACCTTGATGTTGGTAGCAGTACTGTCAGGTAAGGGCATGCTGACAAGATCTGGATAGTCAATGCTGTTGGTGAGATTGCTTTGGAAAAAAGATTAATATTTATTATTTATTAATTAGAAGCTTTTCTAACCCATCCACCACTGGCATCTCAGGACAGCTTACAATAAAAAATTGAATAGAATAAAACAAAACATCACTCCCAAAATTAGAGATAATAAAACCCCGGTTAAAATAAATTAAAATGACAGGAAAATAAAGAGGTCTGCACCTGACACGAAAAAGAATATAATGCCGGCACCAGTCAAACCTCTCTGGGAAGCGTATTCCATAGTCGGGGCACCACAGCGGGGCACCACCGCAGAGAAGGCCCTCCTGCAGGTAGTCACCCTCCTAACCTCCTTTACGAATGGCTCCCAGAGCAGGACCTCCTGCTCTGGGAGCCATCAGATCTCAAGATCTCAAGGGGCAAGAGGGCACATAGGGAAGAAGGCATTCCTTGGAATTCAATAATTACATTGAACTCCAAGAAGACAGAGCAATCAGTCCATTATTCAAATTATGCATCAGCAAGTTAGCTCTGTTCCAAGAGGAAAGAAACCTGGTAAGCCAGAGCATTTTTTATCTGGAAAAATCTTCTGGACCCTACATTAGGACTCATTTCCACAGATGGCAATCACCACCATATTCAGATTCTCCATATAGGTGGCAGCTTGTGTAATATGCATGGACTCCTCAATCCACTGAGAGAAGCCGAAAGCAACTGAACCTTTAGGACAAGGCTGGGGCCTTCCAGGTGTTTTGAATTGCTATCAGCCCTAGGCTGCATAGCCAATGATGATGGATGATAGGAATTATAGTCCTAAGAATAAGAGGATATCCCAGCTCTAGTCACTGTCACACACCCATTCTCAGGCTTCCATCAGTCAGGACTGAAGCCAGGTACAGAAGCATTTTTTAGATACGTTCTCAATAATATATTTCAGGAAATGAATCTGAAAATCCACAATGGTATTTGCGAGATCATACTTTTCAGTATCCTGCTCCCCGCTGCATTTCTATCATGCTAGGGATTGTGGTAGACATCCTGCTCCAAAGCTGTCTCAGAATCTGGCTCCATTAATACTGAATTAAGCTAGTGAAATGAAAGGGAAGGGTCATATATTTCTCTCTTTTTAAAATTTTGGTACAAAATTTGAGGCTAAGATCACACCTTTTAATTACTTCAAAAATGCCATGGCCAGATTCATATGAGCAGGCCTGCATTCCATTTTACTCTTGTACATGTCTTGAATGTGAATAGTTGTTTCTTCCAGCCTAGTAGTTTTGTTTTGTTTATGTTAGCTTCTAGATTCTACTTTTTGGCTAGAAAAGCTCTTCCCGTGATTTATAAAACAATAAAAGAGAATACCATAAAACCATCACATGCTGAGCAACAGCATAGCAAAATTGAAATGTAAAATACTTTTACATTATTTTACAATAATGATTTATTACATTATTTTACAATAATGGAAGAAATCCTTAGAGGCTCACAAGAAAGACAGGCTTTTTCCATTCCTTTTCTTTTGGGTCAAAGGAAAATGCCATGGAAGGTCCTGTCCTACCTACTGACCAAATGAAACTTTGCTGGAATATACAGCAGAACCTTATCTGACAAAACAACTGGACTGAACTATGTTTTTTCTGGTCTTGCTGGTTTCTCCTACTGGATTATCCATCTTTTACACAACAGCAATACCCCCAAATCAGTGGTGGCAGCATAAATAGAAGGCAAGGCAAGGCTTCATCAAAGCTGGTGCTCACGCAGACATTTTCTATTCCTGTCCTTCCATCATTGGGGGAGGAAGGGAGCGTTCACAGTCTTTGTGTTATTTAGAGTTACTTCAAAAACTCTTTCAAACCTAGCAGTAATGATGGTATCCTCCTACTTTCAGGATTTGGGATGCATATTTTTAAATTTTGTAAACAATGCTATTAAAAAGAAGCCTAAACTAGTAAGGAAACTTATTCCTATCAAAACCACCACCCATATTTCAGAATTTGTAAATGGCAATGTGATCAGGGTTTTCAATCACCCTGGATGCTTCTCTGAGCCTCAGATGGCCACATCGCAAGCAATAATTAACAAGCAACTCTAAACCTGTCTTTTCAGATGCAGTTTCAACGCTGACGAATGTGTTTAGTATTGTGCTGATCAAAGCTTGTTGCCAAAATATTTTGTCCATCATATTAAGTAGTTCCAATTCACTCTAAACTCTCCTCTGAGATGAAGCCAATGTTTATGCACCATCTTTCTCCTGCTTCTGCTTCCCTATTTCTGCGATAAGAATTTACTTGCAAACATTAGGGGTCTGTTTGTTGTTGCTGCTTTATCCTGCACTCTGCTTGTTGTTGCTGCTGTTCTGGGATGATGGAGAAGAGATTCTGTCCTTCCTTTTTGTGACAGCCTTTGAGGTTCTTGTATAGTGCTATCATATGTCTCCTTGGTCTGCTCTTCTCAAGGCTGAACATGCTCAGTTCTCCCAGTCTCTCCTCACAGGGCTTTGTTTCCAGTTCCTGGATCAGCCTTGTTGCCCTCCTCTGAGCCCTTTCCAGTTTGTCAGCACCTTTCTTAAAAATTGTTCATGTGATTTGTGGTTGGTTTTGCTATTATCCTTTTTAAAAGTCTATTAAGAATTATAATAACTACTCTTCAGCACAAATATAATTCAAATCAAGATTAGTATGCTTACAAATGTCATGTGAATGGGTACTAAATCCCTGTGAAAAGTTTATAATAAATCTGGACTTCAGAAAACAATATAATTTAAGCTGAATTATTGGTTTGACATGCCTTGCCTCACTTCCATGATTAAGGCTTCTTTCACGGAAATTGACAATAAATTTGCCTGATCCAAAAATTAAATAATGAGCTGTCCAATAGGAAGCTATCTGTTTATGAATTATCAAAGAAAGGCAATTCTCAATTAGTGCTTCAGTAAATTGGCTTATAGCTCATTTAATTTGGTTCACTCTAGTACAGGGTCCTACATTAATTTCAAAAAATCAGATATTATACTGTCAAGATGTTAGACATGCTCTGAAATATTAAAATAAATACCACTTATTTTCTTCTTTGTACATGCTACAGGTGGCTGAGAAAAGTGACCATCATATAATTTCAGGAGAATTTGAACATCTTCTTAGCTGTAGGTAGCTCTATAAGAGCAGCTTAAAAAAAAAAAAAGACCTTGATAAGCACAGCTTTCTTAATATTGTTGCTCAAGGCCGTGGCTTACCTGCTCTGATGTCATGGGATGTCCATGAAAATTCTAACTGATAAAATGGCGTTCCACTGCACAGTCCAATATTGGTAAGCTGTGCAGCTACTACAAGAATACATTGTTTGAACAACTTAAGAAGAAAAATAATTTCACTCACAGGATTAGGATGAGCTATTTTAAGAGGAGCTGTAGAGAACACAGGATTTGATAGTAAGCAAATAAACTTGGGAGAAATGAAAAACTGCATAAAAAAGAACACAGCAGGTAAGGGAGCTAAGATATAGGTTCTCAAAGAGGCATGGTAGCTGAAGAAATGGGGACAACATAGGTCATTTAAGATTTAAAGGCTGGATGAAAAAGGATGGCTAGCACACAGGTTGTTGAAAGAAGAGATGAGAAGGAAGGTGGCTTGAGGAAGAAAAAATAAATAGAGCCCATGAGGTGCTCTGTGTTGTTGGTGGGAAAGGAGTGAATTGACCAAAGAGCTGGGGAACAAAGAAAAAGGATGGATGTGGAAATGGAGTTCCTTCTTTATAAACCCAAATAAGGATAGAACCCATCTCAGGATACTGGGAAAACAATTGTTTTATTCCAAAATAAACCCAACAGATTTTGGACTTGTTTTCTTTGGGACCTTTTTTTAGGGGCAGATATTAAAACAACCCGCAGAGCTCTTTGGAAGATGTAACTCATAAATGAGTAGCAAGTCACTGAATTTATGAAATACATTGAACAGAGATTGTTGCAGGCTGTTTTACAGGATGGAAACATGTTGAGCTTATTTTGGAATAAACTAATTCTTTTTCTTGCATCCTGAGATGGGTCCCCTCTGATAAAAGTTCATAATCCAAGGAACAGAAGGTTCCAGGAATCCATATTGATTTAAATTAGCCATCCAAATCCTACGATTTGTTGGGAAGTGTGACTATATGAATGCTCATTCCTGATGTAAGGGGAGAACTATTCTGATAATGCATTCCAGAGATGCTGTGATCTTCCACCATGGAAAGAAAGGAGAAAGTAAATTGACTCAGACAGAGCAGTGCTGCATCTCCTGACAGGAGTGAAAAAACCACCAAAGAGAGTCTTCTGGAGCTGTAAAGAATGTTTACAGTTTATACATACATACAGGAAATATGTACATGCAGAATGCAGGCAGTCCTCTAAGGGACTACAAAAATGGAGTCTGTACAAGATGCTTTTATAATGTAAAAGTTACATACAGTTTCTGGGGGATCATGTACACAGTATGCTAGAGACACATTAGGATAAAAGACAAGAGATTGAATGGGGTTAGGAAAGACAATACAGAAAGAACCTTCAGGTAAACCATTAGTATATCTAAGAGTGTACCTGAGCAGGACAGGCAAGTCTTCACATCGTTGAGGTGTACTTGGAAAGCAAGACTTGTAACATGGATTCCTGATAAGATCAGGAAGCTCTAACATCAGATCAAACAACAAGGTTCCATCTGTATTTGGTATCTAAACTGTGCTTTTTGGCTTTTCTGTTGTGAACTGCAGTAGGATCATCCCTAGATATTCCACGGTCCACTTCTTCTTTCCTGAGATCCCTTTTGCAATTGGGGAAACCACGCACAAATAGCAATTGCAACTGTGATTGGTGGTTTCCCTCCACACGATTGAGACCGTGAAAGGCATGGACTTTTTCTTCTTGTTTAGCCAATGACACAGATAAGTTGCACATGTAAAGCAACAATAATGAGGGGCCCAACTCTTGTCCTGATCTCCAATTTTGCAATCAA